CTTGGTTTATTTGTTTTTTTTTTTTTTTTTTGGTTTTCGTATTTTGTTTTGATGATTATGGAAGAAGGAGAGGATTTCTCGCGGGAAAATTGGAAGATGAGCCGTGGAGATAGGAGGAGAGTGAGGGTATTTTCGTAAAAGAGTATTGTTTATGCCGTTTATCTGCTTTTGAAACAGCACACGTTTTGCTTCTTAAAACATAAGCGGCACAACGTCTATAGTGATGAGTTGTTGAACCTTTTTTTTTTTTTTTGTCAACTGCCCATCAAATTAGATCAAGTGGTGAACAGACGAGTCGATCCTCCTAGGAGCATCTCCGTCTGGCCTGGTCTGATCTATATGGGAAAAGGTAGACCCCCTTTTTCTCGCCTCTTTTGCCAATCCATCTGCTCTATCATTCCTGCTTCGAGGAATATGCGAAAGCCTCATATCCTCAAAGTCTTCCTGTAGTCTCTGGAGCCTCTCAATCTCTGTTGTGAAGGTTGGCCATTCCTCCGGATTAGTAGACATGTCTACTAAGTCCGCACAGTCCATCTCTATCCTCACCGCGCTAATCCTCAAGTCTCTCAGGCACGATACTGCCCAAAGAAGGCCTTCCATTTCTGCATGCAGGGCTGAACGGCTCCTCCTGCATGCCCGTTGTCCAAACCATTCATATCCCATTCGATCCTTGAAACTCCACCCTAGTCCACTAACACTACCATAATCGATCCATGAAGCATCAATTTGGCATGTCGGGATTCGGGGGTTCTCAGGGGGTTCTGTCTCAGTTTCCAAGGAGGGGGGTGCCTCCAAAGTCTCATCGATTCCGTCAGTCATGTTCGCTTTTGTCCAGCACTCTGCCTCAAGAGACGCGTGTTGGAGAGTATCCATTGGAGATACGACTTTCCCATTAAAGAGTTTGTCGTTCCTCGCCTTCCAGATGTACCAACAGATCCATGGGAAGGTGTCGAGTTGTGGTCTCCGTGGAGCCACCTCTTTTCTCTTCCAAAAGAGGAAGTTAATATTTTGATATATAGATGTACTCGGGAAGACACCCGGAATGGACGGATAGTCCGATAAAGCCCAAACCTGTAGGGCAGGGGGGCACTCGAAGATAAGGTGGTTGATTGACTCCGCTGGGTCAGCACATCTAGGACAACTCCTATCGGTACCCAGGTGTCTATAGGCGAGTCTCTCTGCTGTCGCCACACAGCCAGAGATCATTTGCCACAAAAAATGCTTCATTTTGCTTGGAGCCTCTATCCTCCACACATGGCTCTGAAGGCATGTGATGCTCGGTTGGAGAACAAAATCTTGTGAAGAACTTGTCTTGTTCGATTGGAGTAGGTCATAGCCGGTTTTAACTGAGTATACACCTGTCTTTGTGTGATCCCAAACATATCCATCCGGAGCGGATGAACATGAGGGTTTTAGTCCAAGAATAAGGGGTATGTCATCTGGCTGGAAATATTCTCTGAGGCGTTGAATATCCCACTCCTTGGTATCATTCCTAATGAGGGCTTGAACCGGAAGGCTGGGGAGTCTATAAACAATATGATCGGCTGGCCTGGGTGGTCGTGCCACTGAATCGGGAATCCAGTGCTCATCCCATACCCTCGTGTCTCGTCCAGTGCCGATCCTCTTTCGTAGACCTAAAAGGAGTAAAGGTTTTGCTGCCATAATACTACGCCATCCATATGAAGGTGAGTATGTACGTCTATTGTCTAGAGGGGAGGTATTGCAATAATATCTCCCTTTTAGGATCCGTGCCAGTATGTACGTCTATCGGCTTAATAGTTACAGATTTTGAACCTATCAGCCGAGCATTTATAGATGTTGAACGTATTGCCCTAAATATCAGGTCACTAATTATAATCTATCGTCCCTCTGTTTCTTTTTTTAAAAGTATTTTTTTTTTCTGAAAATGAAATATTAAACACAAATTTGAAAATATATACATCACAGAAAATATGATGTTGATCCACACTAAAGGAACCAACTTCTTTCATGTAATGGACAACAACTTCCATCATATCAACAATATCATAGTTCTTTTTTTCCTTCCAAAGAAGATTCATGCTGTGTAAGTAGGCAGGCTGGTAAGATGTATTCCAAGAAACTGCTGAGCTAGATCAGTCCTGAGATTCAGAGTGTTCTAGATAATTTATGAAAAAATTAAAATAATTTTTTTTAATATATAAATTTGGAGGTCCAAAATATTTTTTTCAGCAGTTTTTATCTATATAAATTTTTTTAAAAAAATTTAGGTTTAGCTCAAGACTGACCCTATTGCTGAACGGCTGAGCCACACATCTTAGGACGTTTCATATACGTAATTACGGAAAATTATGTTATCCAAAGTCCAAGTAGGAATTCATGGATTTTATGTTAGTTAACATTACTACTACCGAATAATTTATGATACCCAATAATTTAACTATCTATGATTCGATTATGGCTGTTATTAAGTATGGTCACGTGTAGAAGATTTGAAATGTTTATAAATGTTAAACTAGATTTTGACCCTGCTTTAAAAGCGCGGGTATATATTTACTATTTTGATAAATTTTATTTAAATTAATTATTCAAACACAAAAATGTTAAAATTGTTTTATTAATATTTAAAAAAGTTCTATTATAATGTTTGATTTTCACGTAATGTTTCCATATCCGACCCAGATCCATAGTTGAACCGGTACATCCGGCAATGTTTATATAATCCAGTTAAGATTTAATTAAAATTTACTAACTAAAAATTTAAGCCAACCCGATATATATCTTAAAACCCGCTATTAATCTGTATTATGATATTTTTAAAATTTTGTTAAATAATTCATATTTTTAATATTAAAGAAATTTTTTTTTTGTAATTTATTTAATAAAAACTTTCTTGTCATTTGAAAAAATGAAACAATGGAAGTAGAAAAAAAATACAATTTATTCATATAACAATATTAGTTTCTTTTCGTTATTAATAACTTATGATAAGTTTGCATTTTTACTCATTTTATATCTAAAATTTAGTTTTTAAAACAAATTGAATTGACATATCATTATTATGGATAAAATGAAACAGGAAATAATAATTTATAATTTTTGATCGCTAAATAATATGATGCTCGGAAATATGATATTAAAATTAAATAGAAAATCATAATTTCCATAAAAGGAAAATTATTATTAATCACAAAAATAGTAAATATTATCAGTTACCATATATATAGGAGATATTAAATTTTTTAGTTAATTAAGATTCTAAAAATAAATAGTGGTATTATCTTATAAATGTGATAAAAATATAGGGGTAGAATCCAAAATTTTAACAATAGGATCCTGTTTTAATAATATAGATTTAGAATCCGACGAGATCCAACTCTTTTCTATCCCACTTTTGTCACTACGATTATTATACCCTAACCTAATTAATTAACATAATTATATAACCTAGGGCTAGGAGGCATCATCACTCCTTTTTGTTTGATTTATACAAGTGCTTGTGGACACAAGAAGAATATCGTGGTCGTGAACATATTAATCATTAGGGGACCCAAATTGGAAAAGAGTTGTATGTATATTTTGTTTTAATGTTACAAAAAGAAAGTATATTTTGTTTTATTGAATAAAAGCACATTGTGGTGAAGTTTGGAGCACTCGTTTATCAAACATTATCTAAAGAAGGAAGATAAGCTGCTCTCAAAGTTGTAAGAGTTAGGCCGTGGTAAAAAAAAAGAAGACTTGAAAGGTGGTGCCACACTAAAATAGTAAGAACATCATTAACCTTTAGTTTTTTTTAATCTGTTTTTTTTTTTTAAAATGAAACGAAACAATTGCAAACCGCAACGTATCAGTGGAGCATGTATTATAAGAGTTGCTTCTAAGGAAAAAAGTTTAAGAATTAGTTTTTTTTAAAAATAGTAGAGCCCATTTACTAAGAGTTGTGCTAAGAGACCTTTTTAATGGTGCTCTAAAATCTTTGCATCTACATAAGCATACACACGTGTCCAGAGATGTTAAAATCCAATAATATAAAATAAATATATCTCTGGTTTATAATATGTGAGAATAATTTGTGGATATGTGTGAATAGTATATGGATTTGAGAGCTGGGGAGGATGAACAAACAGGTCACATAAAAATATATACCCAAAGATGAATAGAATAATATCTCTTGTTACTATCAAACAAACGATTAAAAAGATAAAAAAAGATGAAAAACCAATCTATATATCCATTCCCCACCCCCACCCCCACCCACCCATCTCCAATTAACATTTCATTGTCTCTCAGAATGTGTAGAACATTCGATCAATATAGCTTTTTACATATACGACCACGTCTTTACCCTTACAACTTACAAGTTCAATACAATGCTCCTTCCCTTTCGAAATCACAGATTTGAAAAAGAAATAACTTTTCTTATAAGAAAAATCTTGGCGTATTAACGATAGGAAGTAGCTGGGAAGCTAGCAAATCGTTTAGTCTTAAACATAACAATAGACTCACCTCCATTGGATTATCATAATCATAACTCTCACAATCAGTTAAACTAACAGTACATAATAAGTTGTCTGAAATTTTTTTACTAATAGCGTAGTACTTACTAAAAGAGTATTGCTCAAAAAAGAATCTCACCAAAAGAATAAAAGGTCACGTAAGAGTTTTAAAGTAAAATCTTATAGCATAATTTCGTAAGACTGACTGTTTTTATGTTAAAGTTGACACAAACATTACATAAAAAGTAACACCTGCACATATTGTATTCAAGTAAAAAATAAAGTTGACACAAACATTACATAAAAAGTAAAAATAAAATAATGTTATACAAAACCATTTATAAGATCTGCACATTCTTCCATAACAAGGAAGGCCCACCATTTTATGATATTTGCAGTTATATCTGTGGCAGTTATCTTAAAGATGCTTTCATATGTTTTGTAATAAGTATGTTTCTTCTCTCTTCACCCTCTTCTCTTGTGGTTCTTGATTTTGGCCAAAGCTTTGTACTTTCAATGCATTAAAACCACATAAAGAATCCAAAGAAAAGGTCTGTGTAACGTACTAACGTCAATCGAATTAAACTCACCCAACTTTCTTGTTTTCCACAAACTTATTAAATCTTCTTATCCCCAAGAATGGGAGTCTTGTTGTGATTTAAGAACAAAACTCCAGTCATGGATCTCGAGCGTCTGAGTCCAAGGAATCAACTTAAGGTAAGTTTCATTCACTTCAATCTCGATTTCAAGAATCTAATCTTTATTATTGTTTGCTTATCTACAGAAAGAATCTTGGTGGACTGTTTTGACATTAGCTTACCAGAGCTTAGGTGTGGTCTATGGAGATTTAGCAACTTCACCTTTGTATGTATACAAGAGCACTTTCGCTGAAGACATTCAACACTCTGAGACAAACGAAGAGATCTTTGGTGTTCTGTCTCTTGTCTTCTGGACATTAACTCTCATCCCACTACTCAAATACGTTTTTATTGTTCTTCGTGCTGATGATAATGGAGAAGGTGGGACTTTTGCTCTCTACTCTTTACTCTGTCGCCATGCTAGAATCAGCTCCTTTCCCAACTTCCAGCTCGCTGATGAGGACCTTTCTGAGTATAAGAAAATATCCGGGGACAATCAGAGGAATTTAAAAGATAAGGGGTGGAGTTTGAAAAATACATTGGAGAAGCATAAGGTTTTGCAGAACATGTTGCTTATTCTTGCTTTGATTGGGACTTGTATGGTCATTGGTGATGGAGTTCTCACACCAGCAATCTCTGGTAATAAAAAGATTGATTCCTCTCAGATTTGTGTGGATTTCTCAAGATCTTGAAGGCTGATTTTTATTTTTGCAGTTTTCTCAGCAGTCTCTGGATTAGAGTTATCCATGTCCAAGGAGCAACATCAATGTGAGATCTCTACTTCTATTAATTAGATAGGTAGGAGTGTTAAAGATGGGAAGTTTCAGCATTACTAATATGAGCTGTTTTGTTTATTATTATGTTCAGACACACAATTAGCTTAGTGCAAGTTAGGTTGAAACCATCTAGGATCAACATGAAGCTTCTTAATAAAGTATAAAATAAGTTTAAAAACTTTTTTGGGTGTGGAAGGTGAGTGTGATGCAGATGCAATCTTCTTATAATATAAAATAATGACTGTGGTTTAGGAGTTAAATTGATTAATATAATAAAAAATATAAAGCTAGAGGAATATAAAAGTCATAAAGCTTATACCGTTTTCTGAAAAGTGGTCAACTAAAAAAAGCTAAATAGGTTTTGATTAGATCTTAGACTCTGAAGTAACTTTCTTTGTTTAATTGTTTTTTTCGGTAAATAGCTTATTTACTTGCTAATCCTACTTTTTTTGAGTAAACTAAACACATGCAATTATGCAAATGCTGCAGATGTGGAGGTGCCAGTGGTTTGCGCCATACTGATAATCTTGTTCTCACTACAACACTATGGAACACATCGTTTAGGCTTTTTGTTTGCTCCAATTGTGCTAGCATGGCTTCTCTGCATAAGCACCATTGGTGTATACAACATCTTCCACTGGAATCCTCATGTTTACAAAGCATTGTCTCCTTATTACATCTACAAGTTCCTCAAGAAAACTCGCAAACGCGGTTGGATGTCTCTAGGTGGCATCCTTTTATGCATAACCGGTAAAGAAAACAGAGGAATACCGTTTATTTCATGATTTTAAGCCTTTTTCCTCATAACTTATTTAGTTTGTGTTTTTCTCTAGGCTCGGAAGCTATGTTTGCTGATCTAGGACACTTCACTCAGTTGTCAATACAGGCAAAGTCTTAAATCTTTTTATGTTGTCTTATTAGCTTTCTCTGAAACTTGCATACTTATTATGTCTCTCTGGCTGCAGATTGCGTTCACATTTGCTGTTTACCCGTCGTTAATCCTCGCATACATGGGCCAAGCCGCATATCTGTCTAAGCACCATGTCATCGAGAGCGATTACCGGATTGGATTTTATGTTTCAGTACCCGGTAAATGTACTAATCAGTCAAAATGCATTTCACTGTTTGGCATAGTATTCACTAGTTTGCATGTTGTGCACAGAAAAAATAAGATGGCCTGTATTGGCAATTGCTATTCTGGCGGCTGTTGTGGGAAGCCAGGCGATAATCACTGGAACATTCTCGATCATCAAGCAATGCACTTCTCTAGGTTGCTTCCCTAAAGTCAAAATCGTCCACACATCTTCTAAAATGCATGGCCAGATTTACATCCCGGAGATTAACTGGACTCTCATGCTACTATGCTTGGCAGTCACGGTAGGTTTCCGCGACACCAAACACATAAGCAATGCCTCAGGTATGTTATTCCTTCTGTTTCATTAAAATACATGTTTAGATGAAAAAAAATTATTTCATAAAATTATTTTTTTGTATTTTCAATGCATTTTATGAACTTCAAAAATTAATTGTATCAATTGAATTTTATTGACTTATAATTATGAGAAATTAGGACAAATCTCTCAAATAGATCTTTTTAAGTTTTTATCACAAAAATTGACCTAAAAATTAGAAGGACCAAAAAAGTAACAATTTTATTTTGAAATTTTTTTTTTATTTTTTTTTTAAATTAAATTTTACTTCCAAAACCCACTCTTCAATTCTAAACAAAAAAGTCTAAGATTTGTTAAACAAATGGTATAATTGTATATTTACTTATTTTTGATAAAAACATTTAATTCTATTTTGTTCATTTTTTTATTTTAAAGTCTATATTTGTTATATTTGTGACAAAAACTTTATTAGATTTATCTTAGAGAAATTTTCAATTAATAATCACAAAACTATGTATTTATAACTAAATTTAATATATTTAATTAATATATATGAAAAAAATCTAAAACATGCATCATTTCCAAACTGAAGAAGTATCTTTTAAACCATTGGCATAACCAACCACTAGTAAAAAAAATCAAAATAGCTACGGTACATTCGTAGCAAATTCGTAGCTATATGGAGAGGTTGCTACGAATAGCTACGGAAATTCGTAGCAAACTCTCCATATAGCTACGATTTGCTACGAATGTACCGTAGCTATTTTGATTTTTTTTACTAGTGAACAATGTATGTATCTTTCTATCAACTCTACACAGGTTTGGCGGTTATTACCGTTATGCTGGTAACAACCTGCTTAATGTCACTTGTAATAGTATTATGCTGGCGCAAAAGCTCCCTCTACTCTCTAACCTTCATCTTCTTCTTCGGAACAATCGAAGCTATCTACTTCTCAGCTTCACTCATCAAATTCCGCGAAGGGGCGTGGGTGCCACTCGCACTCTCCTTCATCTTCCTCCTCATCATGTACCTGTGGCACTACGGAACCGTCATGCGTTACCAATTCGACGTACAAAACAAAGTCTCAGTCAACTGGCTCCTAACCCTCTTCGGCTCCTCGAACCTAGGCATCGTCCGTGTCCGTGGAATCGGTGTGATCAACACCGAACTCGTCTCGGGCGTTCCCGCGATCTTCTCTCATTTCGTTACTAACCTTCCCGCGTTTCACCAAGTTGTTGTGTTTCTATGTGTGAAGTCTGTTCCTGTCCCGCGTGTTAAACCGGAAGAACGGTTTTTGGTTGGGAGAGTTGGACCGAAGGAGTTTCGGTTATACCGGTGTATAGCCCGGTATGGTTACCGTGACGTGCATAAAGATGACGTTGAGTTTGAGCATGATCTTGTTTGTAGTATCGCTGAGTTTATACGTTCGGATAAAGCGTTTGATAACGATTTGGACGTTGAGAACGAATCTGAGAGGCTTACCGTAGTGGCAGCTTCCTCCTCTAGTCTTGAAGGTGTTCAAATCTATGAAGACAACAAACCAGAAGTCAAGAAAAAGGTGCGGTTTGTGTTACCGGAAAGTTCGAGGATAGATAGATCGGCGGAGGAGGAGTTAAGGGAGCTGACGGAGGCGCGTGAGGCAGGGATGGCGTTTATAATGGGACATTCGTATGTGAGAGCGAAGGCCGGTTCGAGTGTGATGAAGAAAGTTGCTATTAACTTTGGGTATGATTTTTTAAGGAGGAACTCAAGAGGTCTTTGTTATGGTTTGTCTACTCCTCATGCTTCTACTTTAGAAGTTGGTATGGTTTATATTGTGTGACTATATACTTTTTTTTTTGGTTAGATTTTGAATAAACTTCAGTTTTGTAAATTAAGGTTAAGATAAGTTTTTGTTGTTGAAACTTTTGTGTAGAGATGTTAGAGTTGCTTGTGGAAAAAGTAAGATATGCTTTTTGTTTTTGTAATAATTTGTCTCTACTGATTAAGATTCAAAGAGAAAAGATTGAACAATGAGTAGACAAGACTCGAGAGCATATGATTCTCTTGTCTCTTTATGTTTCTTTAACTTCAAATCTTCTCTTTTGTCGGCTTAGCTTATCATATAAATATAAGTGCATAGAAACAAATAATACATATACAAGTGTGCGTACATCTCCTTACTCTGTTTTGCGTTATAGAGAAAAAAACAAAGAAAGAAATGATGAAAAATGGAAACTGGGTGGTTCTATCTCTAATTTTCATGTTTCTCCTTTGTGGGTTCTCATCAGTTTCAGCTAAGCCTCCTCCTGTTAGTGAGTTCTTGATCACCCTAATATGATTATTATTTTGAGCTAACATCATTTTGATCAATGTCTGAAGATGTTATTGTTTTTCTTTGTTTTGGGAACAGAGATTGTAAGTGGGCTTGTGACGAATGTAGCATCAATGCTGTGGAAATGGTTGTGGTCTCTTCAGACATCTACAACCACAACAGTCACCACGAAATCTGGTAAGACGACCCACCAAAAAATATTTAAATATGTATATACTTTTTTATTATATGATCTTGTTGTCATTCAATCTTCATAGATAGAAAAGCTGAGAAAATGTGTGACAGGTGTTTCTAGCCGCTCGATGGTGAAATATGAAAATGGATATAACATAGAGACAGTGTTTGATGGAAGTAAGCTTGGGATTGAGCCTTATGCAGTTGGAGTTTCCCCTAGTGGAGAAGAGCTTATTGTCTTGGATTCTGAGAACAGTAACATCCACAAAATCTCCATGCCTCTTTCTAGATGTAAGTTCTTCTTCTTAAAATGATTTGATGAAAAATGTACTTAAAAAGGATTTCGCTGGACACATAAGATTGTGTATTATTAATTTCTCACTATTTGGCATATTCGGTTTATACCCAAACCCAAAACATGACCCACCAAAACGTTGAATCATGTATCTACAATTATGCTTTGCTTCAAGGTGGGGATTCATTTTTCTTTTGCTTTTCTCAGTTCAGTAAAATATTGAGTTTCTTCATATTTTAGATTCCAAATGTTATATTTCTTAGACAGCAAAATCATTTTAGGGTTAACTTTTTTAACTTTAATCCACAAAACGACACAACTAGCTTTTATCCATGTTCTGTTTCTCTGTTCTTCAGGTTTACTCTTTTTGTTGTTTCTTGTTCCTCAAGTTAACGAATTTTCCTGACTATAAAGCACCAACTTTCGCTTTTAGTTAGATTCTAAGATGCAAAGTAGATAGATTCTTCAAACTAATCTCATGTCACAACTGATTTATTAATTTTGAGTTTTGAATTTATTGAAGATGCTAAACCAAAGCTAGTCTCTGGTTCACAAGAAGGTTACACAGGACACGTCGATGGAAAGCTCAAAGAAGCTAAAATGAATCGTCCTCGAGGGTTAGCCATAGACGACAGTGGAAACATCTACGTCGCCGATACTAATAATATGGCCATACGCAAAATCAGCGACGAAGGTAACACTATAATTCATATTTGCATTTTCGATATGAAAATCACAATTTTAAAACTTTTTTTCTTGGTTTATTCATGTAAGGAGTCTCAACCATCGCCGTTGGAGGAAGATTCTCCGATGACTTTGATTTGATCTACGTCTCTTCAACCTGCTCTCTCTTAGTCATTGATCGAGTAAACCAAGTGATTAGAGAGATTCAGCTTCACGATTATGACTGTTCTCATCACGAACATGAAACCGAACACGAAACAAATCTCCATCTTGGTAACTTTCCTAACAAGTTAACTTTTGTTCGTTTTTTTTGTGTGCTGTACTTGAAACGATGTCGCTTTGGTTTGTGTATATGCAGGAACCGCTTTGCTAGTTGCTGCTGCATTTTTTGGTTATATGTTTGCGTTATTAGTACGTAGAGTACGATCGTTGTTCTCTTCGTTTCGTCATGTAAGTAAACAGCTTGGTTTGACTCGGTTCGAGGAAACCAATAATTAGCATCATTGGTTCATTTTTTTTTTTCAGGATAATAAGAGGCATGTGGCAAAACCGAACATGACAATGGCTCCATATCAACGTTATCCAAGACCGGTTCGACAGCCATTAATCCCACCTCAACATGAACCGGAAAACGAAGAAGGATTTCTCGGTTCTCTTGGAAAGCTTGTGGTGAAAACCGGTTCGTCGGTTTCAGAGATGATGACCGGACCAAGGAAAGTTACTCCCCAAGACTTCCACTACCACCATCCGCAACAGCAAAGCCAGTGGCCGGTACAAGAGAGCTTTGCTATACCGGAAGAAGATGGACCACCGGCTTTAGAACCGAGATCAGGTACAATTAATCAGGATAAACCCTACCTTAGACCACAAGGCACAACCCAAAACCGGTCTTATTACCAAGATTGTGACCAATACCAAACCCAGCAGAAACGAAAAGTGAACGATACCGAAGATAACCGAGAGAATGAGATTGTGTTTGGGGCGGTTCAGGAGCAAGACGGCCGCCGAGAAGCTATGGTGATCAAGGCTGTTGATTTCAAGGAAGCCATGAATGATCAGCGAAATCTACGGCCTAGAATTAATTACATGGGATATTCTTCTCATGTCTACTGATTACAAAATTTTCATAAGTTACTTATTAGAGTGTGTCATATATACATTATCTCGCTATGTGTTTATTAGTGTTATAAATGACTTTTTCATTTTACTTATTAAATTGGATTTTTAATATAAAAACCCCTCAACTAAGTTTATTTTGGGTAAAAACCTCTAAACTAAGTAATTAATGAAAAAACCCCCAAAATAACTTTATTTAGTGAATTAAACCCTCGCCGGTCATAATTACCAGGGGTTTTATCATTAAACATAAAAATCAATAAAATTCAAAATATAATAACATTATCTAAAAATTTGTAATTTTAATTTAAAAAACTAGCATTTAAAAAAAAAAATTTGTAACTATATGAGTCTGATTTGTTATCCTTTTAAAATCAAAATTATATATGTATAAATTTAAAATGTAAAAACCAAGAAAATATAAGAAAAATTATCTAACGATTTACCTGTAAAAAAGATTATCAAAATTTATAACTATAAAAACAAGAAAACAGAATAAAATTTATATCTTATTTAATAAAAATGTAATAATAAATCATTAGATGCTTTTTATTATATTTTGGTGTTTTAAAATTTTAATCTATATATATAATATTGATGTTAAAACAAATCAAAATCATATATTTACAGAAAGTTTGCAAAATGCTAATTTTAAAAATTTAAGTTACTAATTTTTAGAAAACGTTATAATTTTTTTTTAGATTTTTAATGATAAGAACCCTTCAACTATGTTTAATATGGGGGTTTACTTGTTAGTTTGAGGATTTTTATCCAAAACAAACTTAGTTAAGGTATTTTAGAGTTTTAAATTCATTTTACAAGGATAAGAAATCATTCATATATTTACAAAAAAAAATTAAACTGCTAGTTTTGAAAATCAAAATTACGAATTTTTAGATAAGGTTATCATATTTTGATTTTTTTCTTTTTTTTTTGAATTTTTTTAATGATAAAACCCCTAAACTAAAGATTTACCGGTAGTACTGATAATTATGACCGGCGAGTGTTTAATTCACTAAATAAAGTTAGTTTGGAATTTTTTTCATTGAATACTTAGTTTATGGGTATTTACCCAAAACAAACTTAGTTGAGGGGTTTTTATGTTAAAAATCCTATTAAATTTCATACTCTGATAGTACAGAAACGTAAGATATTCTGTGTTAATCTCCAACTATATATAAATAAAAAGAAAAAGATGAGATGTATCATAACTCATTATATAGTACAGCAAATTCTTGAGCTGTGATACACTATACACTTTCGCATCATAAGATAAATACTACTAATATACAGTGTGGCAATCATAAACACAACCACATGAACGACATTATACAACCTTTTTGGATGGAAGATACTACTACAGTAGTTTCATGTTGTAGCTCTAGTATATCCCACGTGTGAGAATGTTTTCCCTCACAAAAGAAGCAAAAGTGTATTTATGTAAGGTCTTTCTTGCTTACAATAGGATTTGGTCAAAGTTCCCAAATAAAAGCAAAATGCCACTATTATTACTTTCTCCTCTTTTTTTTTGGTCAAAGAGAACTAACAATGTACATTAGTCGGAAATTCAGTAAATTAGTTTGAGTTGTAAGAAGTTAGTGATCAACTTCAATTAGTGGAAAAATATATATTTTAAAGATGATGTACGACCCTTTTTGATGGAAGATACTACTAGTTTTCATGTTGTAGCTATAAGTGTATCCCACGTGAGAGAATGTTTTTTCTTTTGGTACAAATTATTCTAATACTCATGTGTTACTAATTTATGTTAATAATCATGCATGCCTTAGTTGTGTTATTGACCTTTTACTATTTATATATTAATGAATGCTGCGTGTAACACACAAACTGAATTAGCACAAAGAATAAAAAAAATAAAGATTCAAATATCGGTTTTTCAGAAAAGATTAATATAAAAATATGTAATATAGCAACGGCTTTTTTGATTGTTTGTCTGACGCTCTAAAAAAACGGCTAAGTTTTCAAATTTCAAAAATTAAAATTAGTAAAGTACTAATTAATAAATATATCAAAACAAACGAGTGTAGCTAAAAGCAGTTAAACGGAAACAAAAAAAAATAAAAAAGTATTACACTTTTCTCTCTCTCTCCCACGTGTCCTCCTCTTTCTCCTCGTTTTTGCTTTCTCCGCCGATTTTCTGGCCTCTTTCTCCGCCGATTTTCTCGCCGACTTTAGCTATGGCAGGTGCTCCACGGCTTCAATCACTTCCCAAAGATTTGAAAATCCATCTCCTTCTTTGTATGCCAGCAAATGATGTAGGAAGATTGATGCTGTATGCTCCAGATTTCGCTGCTATTGTCAGAGAAGCCAACTTGGAGAAAGCTTACGAGAATGAAGATGCATTCGTGGTGCTCTCTGGATATCGTTCCAGAGGATGGAACTTTCTCCTCTCCAGATTCAGGGACACGAAATCAGTTACGCCTCTGCCCTTGTCAGTTACAGACAGGTATCTCGATCTTCTTCCTCTGAGCCACTGTAATGGTGTCATCTGTTCTAGGTCGGATAAGGATTGTGTGTTGATGAATCCCTCCATCGGCTATTGCAAAGTGCTGCCAAGATTATTATCTCAAGATTTGGAGGAGGTGAATACATTCCTAGGGTTTTCCCCTTCGATTTCAAAGTTCAAGGTAGTGGCGCTGAGTAGATCGCACCCTAAACTTCCCTTTGGTAACCCTAGGGTTCTAACCGTGGAGGACAAGGAATGTCTATGGGAGTGGAGAGCACTTGAATGTGATATTGCTGACCATAAACCGGAATCAGCTTCTGACATGAGCTCTGTCTGCATCAACGAGAACCTATACTATGCAGCGCAGCTCCTCCTCCCAACTGTCCCTGGATCTTCATCAATTACAATGGCTATGATCTGCTTCAATCTCAAGACAGAAGCTTTTGTTTCCTGCCAAATCCCAGAGACTTCAGTGTCAAAGTACACTCGATCTGAGACATGTCCCTTCAATATTAGAGGGAAAGTGGGCATCTCCTTTGCTGATAACAAGCAAGGTCAGCACAGAATCTGGGTTCTGGAAGATGTCCACCAGAATAACTGGTCGCTTTTACTGCTTAATATCCATCCTAACATTTTAGATATGGACAAGTGGTTACCTCATGGTCCTCCCCCTTTTCGTGGTCTCACCAAAAATGGTGGTATGGTGTATGCAAAGGCTGGAGTGAAGGATCTTGTCATCGGCTACTTTGATGATGAGCAAAGCCAAGAGAGTATAGTGGAAGGTGTGCTCAGAGACCGTTCCATGGTTCTTTTCTGGGACTATGTTTCAGGTATTCTTCTTCTGAACCCACTTCTTTTTTTCTTACATATAGACATTGTGGTTAAGATTTACTAGCTAGCTAGCCAAAGTTGCTAAACGTGACTGTCCTGTGTTTTTGTTTTGTCCACAACTTTTGCAATAACCACCATAATAGAGCATATATATGGTCCACTTTTAGCTTCAACTATGGGGATTATCACAAGTGATTGTCTCGTTTCATTTGTTTTGTCTTATGTGCATCCCTTTGAAAAGAATGTCACTGAGATAACGTGAGTGTCCTCTGTTTTGTTTTGTCCACAATGTTTGCTTTCTTTTATGCAATAACCACCTTAATAGAGCATATGGTCTATGTTAGCTTCCAACACTTCATTCTTTCTTATGCTGATATTATCCAACATTATGGTTTCAGGTGTTTGCTTCTTCTGAATAGCAGCAACCATTTCCTTCTTCTGAACAGCAGCAACCACTTCCTTCTTCTTTCAGACGTATAGTCTAGTCTAGTCTTAAGGATAGAATCTGCAGCAACCATTTCATTTTTCATTTAGGAGCAACACGTACTGTGTTCAGAGGTGTGGTATATACGTGAGTGTCCTCTGTTTTGTTTTCTTCACAATGTAAAAAGCTTTTCTTTTGCAATAACCACCATAATTAGAGCATATGGTCCGTTTTAGCTTCCACACTTCATTCTTTCTTTTTTTCTTATGCTGATATTATCCAACATTATGGTTTCAGGTGTTTGCTTCTTCTGAACAGCAGCAACCATTTCCTTCTTCTTTCAGACGTAAAGTCTACTCTAGTCTTAAGGATAGAATCTTCATTCGGAGCAACACTTACTGAGTTCAGAGGTGGTATATACAAATGTAACTACTACTTCTTCTTTTTTTGCCACGCATACAAATGTAACTACTACTAGAAACAAAAATATAACAAAATTGGTATTTTCATGTCCATTTTAGCTTCCAAGGCTTCTTTCCTTTTCTTTTCTTATGCTTGATATTCATCAATCCAACTTTATAAAAAGATATAGCAACCAAGTATACAATTCACTAGCAACAGTGATTCATGTCACAATCATATGTTAACTTGGGTTTGAAAAGAAAAAAAAACATAACTAAGAGATTTACCCTCAAAGATATCAAATCTCCAATAGACATTTGAAAAGGAAAATTATAGTTCATAGACATTTTTAAGAGACTGTTATACAGAAGGTGGCTTTGGTAAAGTTCCGACTAAGTTTCTCACCAAAACTAATGTTGACGCACTGTTCTAATTTTATTGAGTTTTTATTTCTTCTGTTAAATGATAACTGAACCAAGAAGCCATATATCATGGTAGAACCATATTATATATAAACATACATCAGTATAACCATCATTGTTACTACATCACAGATTCACAGTACATGGTTTTCTTTTTATAGGGTTTTTATAAACAAAATGGATAGATTCTTTTAAACCTAAAACTATACGATATTATTAATATATTTATTTAGAATCCTTAAATCTAGACTATTAAAAAATGATTACTCTAAAAAAACATACTTAAAGAAGTTGTTGCACCTATTCATTATTAGTCCTATGTAAAACTAAATATTATAACTAACATCTATTATAGCAATCAAATAAAATCCTTTAATAAATAATTTTAGTTCATTTTTATTCCAACTTATTATATAAAGCTAGGTATTATAGCTAACCCCTATTATAGAAATCAAATTATATATTCTAACATTTAAATAAATCACTTCAATTCACTAAACGTTTTACATGTATTTTTAAATTTTTTGAATTTTTACCGAAACCCAAATCCATAACCAAAAACACAAAATTATTTTTAAAAAAATATATATGTAATACTAAAATATATTTGAAATACTCAAATATACCTAATATATACAAAACATCTTGGATAATTTATGTATCTTATCGGGTTTTGGATAGATCCTACAAATCAAAAATATATAAAATAAGTATTGTTTTTTCTTGGCTATGGACCCAAAGCGAATCTATATTTTCAGTTCAGTTTTGGTGTGGTTTTCCGAATCCGGATAAAATAGCCATACATAAGAGAGAATTAACTAAGAGTGAACATTAAAAATTTTAAATAAATTAATTTATAATTATATATATATTTTTAAAAATTATCTATATAATATGAATTTATCACATAATAATATGTACAATAATCTCAAAATAATAATTTATATCAAAATTTATTTCAATAAAAAATCATATTTTCGAAGTGCAAATCAAAGTCTAATAACTCATTTTACGATGTACAATGAAACAAATTCTCATCGAGTATCTTGATAGAGCTTGGCAAACCATAGTGTATAAGTTTGTACAAACCTTAAGTTAGTAAAAAATTCTCATCGAGTATCTTGATTTCTATAAACATATCTAGCTGCTGGCTGTAACAAACTTTACTATTCAGTTACCAAACGTAGCCATAGAAAACAAGATGCAGATTAACTAAAGTCAGTTTAACCTAAAATCTGAAGTAAAAAACTATAAATGTCTAGAGAATGGATGAAAACCTAAGCTGCATATATATCTCGCTCTCTCTCTTGCTAGATCTCTACACAGATACATACATTAAAATGTTCTAATTTGGCCGAGTAGAATATTAAAATCAACAATCGAAGAGAATCACAAAAAATTAGAAGAAGCTATCATTCAAAATCAAAACTCAGCTTGTATGTTACAATAAAATTAAAATTGTTCAATTGTTGATGCGCTACCAAAATCAACAATTGATTTTGATATACAAATTTATTGTAAGAACTAAAATAAGGAAGTTCATGTTTTACGGAAAATTCTAGGACGTGGCGGTAAACAAAGGATGACGTGCAAGCTGATGTACACTCTACTAATCTAGCATCCGCGCGATGATTTTTATGGGTCCTAGTTTTACAAACTATAACAACATAAGAAAGACATTCCATCACCAATTTCCGTGCACGTCAACATAAGAAAGACATTCCTTGCCGGTTATTTCATGCAGGTGGCTCACGTAGAACCCATTGGCGGGCCACTACTTGACCGTCAGAGACAACAAGCAAAACCCTACTACGATTCTCACCAAAACCTTGAATTTCAAGACTCCTGGGAGTGTTCTTTTCGGGATTGAAAAAGAAAACATAAAACGGTTTAAATGTCCTGATCATCAGCAAAACAAACTCACCTCTAATAGTCATTCCAGCAATGGTAAAACCTTGGAGTTGAATGACATCATTCTCAGGCTTTCCCTGACATTATGTAGAACCCACATATGCAACTCAATGGCACCACTGTCACCAATTCACCATACTCCCAAATAATCCCACCTAATTTACCTTTGTAGTTTATCAATATAGGAGATTTATCACAAAGACGTTCTGAGTTAATAAGCTTGAATTCCTCATACCTAACATCAAAACAAATTATCACTCGTATAAATTTTCCTTTTGACTTTAACCCTCTAAGATTAATGCAGCATATATAATAGAAACTAATGGTATTTTCAGGTCCATTTTAGCTTCCAAGATTTCTTTCTTTTCCTTATGCTGAATTTCAGAAATCTAACTAGTATAATATTAATAACCAATAAGCAACAAATTTAAACATTTACGGATTATGTCACAATCATGTTAAACTTAGAAAAACAGAGCATCGTTCAAGACAATAAATATACTATAATGCTGAAATTCAAGAGCAACATAATTAAGAGAGTTAAGAAAATATGAAACTCCACAGAAACGAAGTAAAAAAAAAAGACCCAGAGTGTTTGTGAGTATTATTTAAAAGCAAGTAAAAATATGAATTAAACTGAAGCGCTGATGATGACTGATGAGAAGCAAAATGTGACAAGTTAAAAGTTAATAGACAAGCTTGGTCACGTTTAAAAAAGTAACAAGTGCACAATCCCGGATATTGGTTTTGAACATAAAACATTATTTTGCATCAGCAGACCAGAACTCTACCCCCAAACACTTTGTAGCCGTCAGAAACGAAACATGCCTATTTTGGAACAACTTCTTTGTGAGCTTTGAATGACAAAATCACATTAACCACTATGTACTTGCAATCCAAGTATAAGACATTGATTCATCCTCAGAGTCAGAGTGAGCAAACTTGAGGCAGAATGGTAAAAAACGAAATCAACTTTGAAAAGGAAAACATGTTTTGTTAAAAGGGAAATTGTGGAACAAGATATGAACTGACTTGTTTATTACGTTCATGACAAAATGTATATATACAACATTCATAGTCGTTTAAAAACATTCCTAAGCCTTATCGTACGATGACAACTTCATCCTTATCACATTGGAAGAGTTATCACAAACTATACTAGATTTTGACCAGCACATCCGTGCGGATAACTTTTCATTTGATAAATATAAATTTTTATATTATATTTAATATATAATACTTTTATATAATGATTATATTTAATATATAATCATTTTTATATAATATACTAGATCGGCCCGGGCTATGCCCGTGTTTTTAGTTAAAATTTTAAATATATATGTTCTATGTTATTTTAATATATAAATATTATAGTCTATTATAAAATATAGGTAGTTAGACAATAATATAACTACTTTTTTTTTAATTATTTATTGTTTTTTGTCTTTCGAGTTTTAAAAGTTTTAATATCAAAACTTTGTATGTCATAGATTATCAGTATGTGTATTGTGTAGAATTGTTGTATATTGTGGCTCCTCTCGACTTTTGTTTCTTTATTTGTTGTGTGTTATTATTTTATTTTCAATATTTTTTTTTTGTAAAATTTTGTTTGGTTATTTATTACTCATTGTTTACTATTTGAATTTTTTTTTTATATTTATTCTAATTTTGATCTTATTTTCCTAAAATGGAAAGAAAATTTAGTGTGTGAATATTTTTTTCCTTAGGTTTGATGAAACGTAAAGGAAAATAATATGATAATAGATTTTTCGTCTTTGAAAACTTATAGACTTCTTTATTTATTTTGAATATATTTAAGTATTTTGTAACTTTTACTTAACTATTAAATCTTTATTAAAATTTTTATTAAACATAGGAAAAAAAATTTCATTAAACTCAAGTTATATTACATAGAATAATTAAATTTTAATTAGTCTATTTTTATATCTTATTAGTTATTGGTTTTTAAATTATTTTGGTTATGTATTAATTGTTAATTATTTTATATCATTTTGTCTTCTAGGCTAACCTTAAACTTGGTAGTAAAAAAGAACCAAAAATCTACGAGATTCAATATTTTTATTTTCGTTGGTATAAATCTAATGAAATGTATAAAGATTAATAGCGCAAATTGATTATCCTTTTTCTCATAAATTGTATTTATTATAATTACAAATTTATTTGTTTAATTATATTATATATTTTCACTAAATGATTATTTTCATTATAAATATAATAATTTTATTTATTATAATTATAAATTTATTGTTTTAATTATATTATATATTTTGACTAAATGATTATTTTGTTAACAAAAAGATTAATGTCAATTTTTTGGTTTCATTAAAAATAAAATATTAATTATAATGATTTAGAAGTTATTAAATTGTTTAAAAGTTTCGGTGACTGTATTTAGGGTTCACTTCATGTTTGTGTGAGACATGTTATATGGATCAGTATGATATAGTTGTATATTTTTGCAAGTTCTATTCTCGGGCCTATGGTATTATGTGCTAATTTTTCTCCAACTTATTCTTAAAAACTATCAATCAAGTGGAAAGATATTTACTCTCATTTACTTTTTTATTATTGTTTCAAAAGAGATAAACGCACACTCATCGTTGTGCTAAATATAGTGTACGTAACAATATTTTCTCATTTTCCTTCTCTTTCTATTTTATTTTTTCTGATTCTATTTTATCGGAAAAAAAATTGTGAGATCTTAACGGCCATTGAAGTGGTGTTATGATGTGAAAGATCTGAGACATGATGG